TTTGCTACAGTGCTGTAACGGATCCGGTACCCTTCACGGTAGCGGGGTCCGTGTCATCTGGTACCTAGGTACTGTGACACGGTACGGCCTACCGTGTGGGGGTACCGTGTAGGCCAAAATAAGTTTTCGCCTCTGGCGGTACCGGGTTAGGACGGGGTGGCCTACCGTCTGTGCCTACCGTCGGTACCTAGGTACCGTTACACGGTATGGGGGTACCGTGTAGGCGGTATACCCTACCGTGTGGCGTACCGCTAGGGGTACCGTGACTCTTGTTGGAATGCATGAGTTCAACCCTTTCTGTGTTGTTTAGTGTTGACTCACAGGTTTTGATAATTGACAAACACAATTTATTCAAGTTAAGATTAAAGTGCTACAACGACAAACACGAAGACTTGAAGTGTCATTCCTTGAAGTATTCAAGAAGGTGCACAGGATTTTATTGGAGTTCGAGACGCGTCTGGAGCGCCTAACGGAGGACCCGGAGGAGTAGAAGTTTTCCGAAGACTTTTTATTTATTTGAGTCTTAGGAATAATTGTAAGAATGACAAAAATATCTTCTCTCCAAAATTATTTTTATGAGAGTCAAAATAAAAATTATATTTATTTTTGGAGTCAGTTGAAAAATCCTTTTAACTGTTCAAAATAGTTTTATTGAGTCAGTTACAAAAAGTGTGTCAAACATTTATCAAATATTTATTTTGATATTATAAAATATTTTTGGTAAGCAAAAATATTTTATTCAAATATTTTTCGTGTACATCGTTTTACACACAAAATAATTTTTGGACTCACTTTTACTCCCTTATTCAAATTCATTGAATAAGAGGAGGAGCGTTCTCTGATTCCCCTTGTCTCAAACAACTAGTGTTACGCCAATTTGCTCTCCATCGCAACTGGCTTGGGCCCTTTGTGTTTTGCCCATTATTTCTTTTGGTAATCGATTATATTTCTCTGTTTAATCGATTAACTGTCGTTCGCATTTCATTAATCGATTATTCCTCTTGTTTTAATCGATTAGTCCTCTCAGAGCCTTCTAATCGATTAATCCCTTTGCATTAATCATTATTCACGCGTTGAAGGAACTCTGCGCAGACTGCATTAATCGTTTATTGACACTGCATTAATCGATTATTATGCTGCATTTTTCATCACAGCTTCTTTTCTTGGACCAACGGATATATTCCTTCAACCCCCTTTATAAACCTCACTCCTTGGTCATTTTTACCATGAACAAGCACTCCTAAAATCCCCCAATCTTGAGGTTATAATCCTCCATTCATTTCTTCCTCAAATTTATATATTTTGATAGAAAACTAAGTGTTTTCAAGAGAGTGTTCTTGTCATCCATAGAGCTTAATCTTTTCTCATTTCTACTCTTGTGAGAGTTATTGCTGAGAGGTTGAAGAAGATTGTTCTTCTTGTTGTTCAAGACTTATGTGACTTAAGTCTTGGTTGTGAAGTCTTGTAGAGGGTACATCTACGAGCGGTTGTGTTGAGGCTTGTGAGATTCAAGTTCTCGGTTTGTAAACGGTTTGTCAAGCACCCGTTGAAGCTTGATAAGTAGTGGTAGCTTCGAGAGAGTCTCTCGGGGAACTGGACTAGCCACGAGGTGGTGAACCAGTATACAT